CAACAACAACAACAACAACAACAACAACAACAACAACAACAACAACAACAACAACAACAACAACAACAACAACAACAACAACAACAACAACAACAACAAACAACAAACAGCCAGCCAACGAAAACAGCAATCCACCTTGAGGTCCCATCGGCTGTCGTCCTGCCACTCCTTGAAAGACTTTCGGCCTCGCCTGCCGGCCTTCCTCCCGGACTCCGACGTCCACGAGGAAGACGCGCTACTGCTGTTGCTGCTGCTAGTATCACTCCCGGACAAGGACTCCGAAGCAGTCACACCTGTCGAGCGATAAAAGAGGAAGAGATGAACAACTATATTTCTGGTGCACCCAGGGCATTCTTTTGGTTGTCCCTCGGTTGTTTTTACTTTGTTTCGGGGTTCGAAATGTACGCATCAGTTGCGGCGAGCGTCGTCCAACGGGAGGCCTTGGATGCGACGATTGCTGAGTCGTTTCTCCCTCCCTTGCTACACCCAGACCGACGCTGATCACCTCACGATGACGTTTTGCTGGCTCCTTGTGTGTAGGGCTGATCTTCCTCTTTGCTTTCTCATTGTCCGGAAGGTGACAGCTACACTCTGGATACAAACACAGCACGTACACGAAGAGAGTCGGAGGAGCCTAGGCATAACCTCGTCCTGTTCCAAAGCCAACAACACTCCATGACACAGCGTTACGCCAGAGAGAGGTAATCGAAACAGAAGGCGATACGAACAAGCAAGGGATAATAGTATTTTGTCCTTTTCAGGTGTCGACAAACACGAGGGGCACGAGCGATACAACGGTAGATATTTCTAGAAATTTAATTGGAGGATGCACCTTCTTCCGTAGAGCTCAGCCGCCTTTGTTTCCGTCCCATGTTCCCCACGGCGGTTGCACTACTGTCACCATCCGCACCAAGGCCGGCTTCGCTGCTATCAGCATCCGTCGATGATGATGCTGATGGATTCACGCTGGCGGCTTTTCGACCGCCCTCGAGGAATTCGGACGCAGACACGGTCGACGGGTTCCTTGACATGGAGGTGTCGAACACGGGGGATCGAAAGGCCTGGAGAAGACCGTTGGCTCCGGTCTGCCATCATTGTGGAGGAGGGAGGGTGTACTCTTATGTTTTGCATGCCTTAGCGGTTAGACCATTGACCACGCGTCCTCGAGAGGACGGAGCATTGTTCCCACGGGACCGACCACCGGTGGAGGAAACAATACATTGGTAACAAGGTTGAGGGCTAGATAAGTGGGAAAGTATTTGCAAGATTGTCCCCAAGTACGCAGCAGGGGAGCGGCCAAGCTCAGGGAGAAGCTACGTAGCCAGCGCTTAGGGATTTCCATTGTTCGCTTGTATGTGTTGGCAGGAAGCCCAAGGATACGCCAACACGGAAGTGCCTGGTGAAGAACACGTCGAGGCTCTGTAGTGTTGTGTATCTCAAATACACTGTTTAATAGCCAAGAAGAACCGCGCCCCATGTGAAGAACCCATACAATCGCCTGATGCCAAAACATTCTCAGGGTATCCCGCGGAAATAATGGGAACGGAGAGCCTGGAATAATCAGTGGGCTTAGAGTAAAGTGCTTCTTCGTTCTCTGATGGATCTTTACTGCCCACATGCTGTGCACTCGTACCTCGACAGCCCCGTACAGTGGGAGCTGACTCTTCACGGAATTGAAGTTGCTTGCGTCGACGTAGCAGAATCGCACAGCTATAGCTTCTTCGTCCTCCGTCACACCACCCGCCTTTGCCCGCCACGACACGGCGCCCCCCGACGGCACGAACAGGTTGTCGCCGGCGGACACATCCTGTGCGTTTGTCCTTCGGCAAGTTACGCGCGTTCGGGAAACACAGAAAGGAAGGGCGTCACCCTCAAGGATAGGCGTACAAGGAAGGAAGACGGCTCAAGATACAGGAGTAAGTTCGTTAACGGGACGCAAACTTACAGCCCCGAACCGTTGGGGTCGACCTTGTGCGCCGAGGTTTCCGAGTCTCACCATCTACGAGTAGCACCACTTCTACTTTTTTATTTTTTTCTTCACTTCAAATCAGCGCTCACAGCCTACAGTAGCGGCTACGATTTAAGAGAGGGTCGGTACAAGACAATTTCACTCTCTTAAATCCGGCTTTCTGTTATATCGTGTTGGCTACGGTATAAGAGAGATATTCTCTTAAACAGTATCTCACTATAAGAGAATATTCTCTTATATCGTAGACAAAACTAACGGTCGTGAAACAGGGACTCTCGCGCACTGACTATACTCGAATGCCAAAATAGGTCATGAAGAGAGCGTATCATGCATGTCACTTGCGCAGCTAGCGTTACCACGTCGGGCTACCTCCAAACGCCGCTCATTCTCTTGGTTGGCAAGCACGTGGACCCAAGTACTGCTGTACGTGGTACGCTTTTGGTGGATCTGCGTTCGGAAAATAAATCATCGTTGTGTGATGCGATGCACATTTTGCACGTGGACACGTGAAAGGTTTTTGGTTGAGTTGTTTTATTGCTGTGTTTCATAGTCGCACCTCTTCTAGAAGGACAACACGAGGCAACGAATGCACCAGCACTCAAGAACGA